CCGGGTGCAGACGTGGCACCACTTGGCAAGCCATGCTGTGGCAGGCATCCCACATATAAACTAGAGGAAGATGGGCATGGATGTTAGCTCAGGGTCAGTCTTTCTCAGCAAAAAGAGGGGGATTGGCACCAGATGTTAGCCCAGGGCTAATCTTCCTCAAAGAAAAAAAAAAAATAGATGAATTAAAAAAATTAGTTCTAGTTTGTCTAGTATGGACAAGAAGGATGAAAACACAATTCCCTAGAGTGCACTTTCACTGTTAATAATCACATAGTTCTGATAAGTGCTGGGGCTAAGTGCCCTTGCTGATCATTAACCGAGTTTATTGATTGTGTTCTCAGGGCTTTGACATACATTATCTCTTTTAATCCTCACAACGCTCAAGTCTTCTAACTCCAGGTTCTATGCTTAAACCCTAAAATCATTTAGTAAATCAAACATAAGTTATTACAATTTAGCAGGACTACCAGTAAAAGAAATGCAACTTTAATTACAGTCTTTCAATTTTCACAATGAAAGGAAAGCAAATAAATAGCACACTCCTCTCCTGGAAAACAGTGCACTTGCTGTCTTTCACATGTACTTAATTTCAACAGTTCTGTGGTCCTGATGCATAAAATAAAATAAGATGCCTCTCAACTCTAAGATCCTGTGACTTGGGAAGTGAAGATCACTTGAAGCCAACTTTTTTTTTTAACCAACTCATTCCAATAAATTGCACAATGAATCAATTACACTATTTAATGCTGTTATTTATTTCAAGGACTAAACTATGCAGCACTTCCCCTTAGGCATTAACATTCTAGAAGAACTCTTGGTAAAAGACATATTTGCCTTGGCTGGTTTACCTGGACTGAGACAGGATTAGTACATTGATTAAAAAAAAATGTAATTTAATCCAAAATCAACTATGCAACCACAACTTTTCAGCATGTACTACCATAAGGTCAGGGAATAAAACAACGAGACACAGTCTCTGAATGAGCCTACAACCTTGTGAGAGAAAACACACGTCAGAGTGTGGTAAGTGCTATCATGTAAGAGCATATGAAGAGCGTTAGGGACATGTGGAAATTTAGTGGAGCCAAGGCAATAATGATGATGAAGATGTGTATCTTTAGTTAAACCTTAAAGAATTGGTAAAAATTCAACAGGCAGATAGTGGAGGAAGGGCGATAACATTAAGGGGAGAAAATAATCTACTTTTAAGAACCTAGGAAATGAGAGAAAGAGAAAAAATAAAGGCAGTGAAAGGAAATTGGCACCTGGTTTTAGCAACTTTCGTTGTTTGGGAAATGGGCGGTCTGGTCTTAACTAGACTTGGAAACATTACTCTTATAGGATTGAATTTGGAGAAGTGAATTAACCACTCATCAATCTCAGTTGAGTTTACTGTCACTGAGTGTATGCCAGGCACTATTGCAGGTTTAGATTTATTTATCCATTTAAAACTCATCACAATCCTATGAAGTAATTTCTATCATTATTCTCATTCCACAGATAAGAAAAATAAGACAGTATAATAATGTTAGGTAACTTGTCCAAGCTCAATCAGCTGGAAAGGGCAGCAGCCTGGGTTCAACCTAGGTCAAGCCCATACTGTAAACCAGCTCATTTTGGCTCCACTGCATGCCTCACCTGAAGATGGGAATCAGAGAAATAGCAAGAGAGCAGGCAGCTGGGATGGGTGAGAGAAACATGCTGGGCACCCTAGTTGATTGAATGTGGAGATAAAATGAGAGTGCTGAGTCAGAATTCAAACACATTGTTACTGAAATTAGGAAGAATAGGAGAAGTACGTTTGGAAGGAATGATGAGATTGTTTTGAACACACTGAACTTGACCTTGGCAGATCAAGTAGGCAGCTAGGTCTAACAGGAAGATGCAAATCTGAGTTTGGAGGCTGCATAGCCAGGACAGAACTAGATGATAGGTGGGAGGTGCTTGCTTCAGGCACAAAATTTAAGAGGGATGGCAAAAATAACAACCAGTAATCAAAATCAATAATATTTTAATGCAATGCTTTTTTAAATATCAAAATTAACGTAAAAAATGAGCCAAATATCAACATTTTAAGTAAAGGAATATCAGTATCTTTCCTTTGCCTCAGCCTCCAATATGGCCCCATTTAGCGCTATTAACAATTCTGCCTTATTTCAACTTTTGTTTTTATCATGATTTTTTGCATTAATTTTGATTTTCTAAAAATAGTGCCTTAAAATAGTATTGCTCTTGATTACTGAGCCTTTTTGGTGCCCTGTAAATTTTGCATCCCAAGCAGGTGCCTCCCTTGTCTTGCCCTAGTCCTGGGCTAAGCAAGAGAAAATTTCCCTTACCTATACTAAAGTTCCTTTTCATTTCTTCACTAAAAGGAAATTATTTCCTTTTATTTTTGTTTCTTCACTAAAAGGAATTCTTTCTCTAAAGGGAAAAGAATGATCACTAAAACTGAAACTGAATGTAAGTGATAACTCTGATTTTTAAATTATCTTAAGTCTAGATCACCTGTTCTCATATTTTTTCCCTGGAGGAAGAGATTTCCACTTCACAGGTAAGAAACCAAGACATACAACAGCTCAGTGACAAAGTTAAAACTAAACTTCTTGGTGCTGCATGGAACACCCTAGATCAGAAGTTTCTCTAAGGACAATTTGAAGGAAATGAAAATATAAAGTATACCTATGTGAGAAATCATGGCCAAATAATTTGGATTGAAAGAATAACTGTACAGATTATGTACTTTTAAATTAGACACAGTGGGCTTGAATTCCTCTTTGTCCACTCACCTGCTGGGTGACCTTTGACAAGTTCCAAAGCCTCAATTTCCTCATGTGTAAAATGAGCCTTATCATGCCTATGTTTCATTGTTTGGGTTAGGAGGCAAAAACGAGAATGTCGTTAAAAATATTTCTTGATCAGGATCTCAACCTGTAACAGATGACACACACAAAATAGGAAAATTCCAGATTCTGTTTAAGAGGCTATACTTAGAAGTAGAAGGGTAGAGAAACCAAAAGGGATGGTGCATCTGAGGGGACAGGTGCTGGAACCCCCAAGGAGAGAAAAAGTCACATAGAGTTATTTGTCTTTAAAGGTACAGTGACCTTTGGTGGAGGGAGCCAAGAAATAAACACTGTGATCTCACCTTCCTCTCTCCCTCTGATTCCCAACCAAACCCTAAGCTAGCGGATGGGAAAGCCCAGCTGCTTTAGCTCATGCAGGTGGGCCTGAAGGGAAGACTGCAAGGTGGGGAAGGACGGGGAAGGGCTGAGAGGCTTAACAGCAAGCTCACCACCACATAATAAAAGCTCATAGTTAATGAGCACTTTCTACGTAACAGACACAAACGCTTTGCTTGTGTCATCTCATTTAATCCAAACAACAGTCTTTTAAGGTGGATACTATTATTTTCCCATTTTATAGATGAGGAACCTGAGGCAAGTGGTAGTTAGGTGACTTGTCAAAAGCCTCAGAACCAGGATGGACACAGGAATTGAATGAAGGCGATCTGTGCCATGCCCCATCATGGCAGAAGAACAATAAATGGTAGTGACTGGTTTCATCATTATCATCACCATCATCAAAATCATTTAATTCCAATCCTTCTAGCAATCATATTTCTAGGAATTTATCTCACAGTGCTAATGCATGTGCATAATAAAGTATGTTAAAAAAACGTTGTTTGCAACACTGTCCTAGCAAAAGATAGACAAAATTTAAATGCCTGTGAACCTGGTCAGATTAAATAAGTTACAGCACACTTATAAGATGGAATACTATGTGGTCAGTAAGAGGAGGCAGCTCTATGAGTACTGTGTGTATGTTACCATGTCTGTTAGAAAATAAAAATTACTATATTACCTATATTCTTGTAGATGAAAGAATATCAAATATCTCTGGAAAAATAAGAAACTGGTAACTTAGTTGCCTCTGGGGAAAGCAACTGAGTGGCAGGTGAAATGGAGATAGATTTTTATTGAACACCTTCTACTTTTAATTTTTTTTACCGTGGTCATGTAATAGAAACATAAATGAATTAAGGAAAAAATCGAATTGTACATCATTAGTGACCTTCTGGGGTCTCTTGTAATTTGGCAGAACAGTGACAGAAACTGTACGTGCACAAAAATCAGCTTTCTTACTCTTTACATCGTGAGCGATTTGCTTTTTCAATAACAGTAAAATCTTTTGTCATATCAGCTTCGGTTAAATAAATGCAAAATAAAGAGTAAACTTCCATTTGTATTTTACAGAGCTTTGCCAGTGCTCCAAAAGCGAAAACTGTAGGGCGAACAATGAGAAAATCAACACTTTGAAACCAGGTAATAGGTAACTCACAAGGGAGGCCAAGCATAACGTCGCAGTCACAAATAGCCCAGCTTGAGAAAACCCCAGGAGAAGGGCTGTTGTTTTTTCAGGAACTTTCTTGGCCAAAGGAGGCAGGTGGCAATGAACTTAACCACAGCTCCTGACCACCTGGGGACTTACAGAGCTCTGTTCCCCGGGTAGGACCGCCAGCCTTCGAAGTTTCCATCCTTTCCAAGAAACCTGACATGCTGTTTTTCATGGCACTTTCAAGCTAGGAAGATTAAGAGAGAAACTGCAGCCATCACGAAGGAAGAGGTGGGCCAATGAAATGACGGCGTTGATGATTAATTAAGAAGATTGTTACCTGGACAGTCAATTTTTAAAAATCGATGCACCAATCACAGATTTTATTGTTAATCTCCTCCATCTGTTGCCACTGGAAATGTTCTTCCTAGGAGGAGGCATTTCCAAGAGTTTCTGTAAATTCCCTCTATATCTCACGATTTCTGAGATTGGGATTCCCCTCCCGCCTGCAAGAGCGGCGTAGGAGGTTGTTACTCAGCGCTGCCCTCCGGGAAGGAGCGGATCGCCTCCTCCGGAGCGACTCCGGCCTGGGCCCCTCCCTTTGGGGCCCCGCCCCTCCGCAGGGCGAACCCTATAAAGCCGCGGCGAACAGGGTTCCTCCTGCTGGTCTCGGTGTAGTCTGAGTCCCAGGTCACTAAGGTCCCGCGCCCTCTTCCAGGAGCATCGCGTGCCGGAACTATGTCCCAGGGGCTGTACCACGAGGAGTTCGCCCGCGCCGGCAAGCAGGCGGGGCTGCAGGTCTGGAGGATCGAGAAGCTGGAGCTGGTGCCCGTGCCCGAGAGCCTGTACGGCGACTTCTACGTCGGGGATGCCTACCTGGTGCTGCACACCGCCAAGGCGAGCCGGGGCTTCACCTACCGCCTGCACTTCTGGCTCGGTAAGGCGCGGCTGGCAGCGGCACCGTACGCGCCCAGGTCTCGGAGGGGCGACGCTGCGGGGGCGCTGAGATCTGCAGTTTGGAGTTGAGGGTGGGAAACCCATCACCCCAGTCGCGTCCCCGCCGGGCAGACCATTTCGGGCTGCCCACCTTCTCCCTTGGAGTCCGCTCCTGCAGACGCCGGGCGCAGCGAAGTCGGAAGCAGCCCTATCTCACTGGGTTTGACCTTTGTTGTGCCCGGCTCCCGGATTTTGGGGCTGGCTCCTCTAGCCCCTTTCAGTTTGCAGTCTCCAAACCGCACTCCCGCCCAGGGCCGCCTCCCCGCGCACCCTGGCGCTGGCCAAATCCCGCTCACCTTCCGACAAGTTCAGTCCTGGTTTCCTCGTCAGAGAGATGAAGTCAAACAAGTTTGGGGGCATCCGCCCTAGCTGGCTAGAAGCCGTCCCCTTTTTTTCCTAATTAATTTATTTTTACTTTTTGCCCTTGGGCACCACCACCTTGTATTTCTCTGCTAATTGCGGCGATTAATGTTCTGGGCCACTTTATATCAGGATCCCGCCCACACTGTGCTGCTTGCAGCCTTGGCCAATAGGTATCCCTGTTTATTAGGATGCCGGAGACCTTCAATATAAATAAATATCCTTATATGGCATATTTATTTACTTAAATGAGTTGCTTTATTATAATAGTCATTTTAAAAAACTTGTTATTTTTTACTCGAACAAGGACGCAGTGTGGAAGAAAACGGCTCCTTCAGCAGTAGTAATTATTTTGGGCTGCGCTGGCGCCAGGCTCTCAGGACACTGGGCCTTGTGTGTTCTACTTTTTCCACCTTCTACTTTTACTGGTAAACATCCTGAATGTCCTCCCCACTCTCCCTGTGAGATCCTGTGCCAGTGGGCACACTGTCTAACAACGTGCCCATTATCTGAGCCTTATTGCCGTCTTTTAAAATAGCTTGCCTCCCCTGGACTTGCGTATTTTTATTTTTAGTTTTACTCCTGACCTTATTGAGAAAACACACAAAACCACACACACATACACATTATGAAGTCCCTGAAAGCCATCATTTTTATTCCTAACAATAGGAGATTTTAAGAAACAAAATGGTAGAAAGCGTTGAGAAGTGTTGTTCTCAATGTTAGTGAACATCTGGAGCAGACACTCCAAATGATCAATACAGAGAGAGAGAAAAAGGACTGTTCTCATTACAGCATTAGATATCAAAATTTTATGCTTGCCTGAGGAGGCTGAATCTGAGTTCCAAACGCATTTTGGTTTCCTAGTGTGATGTCGCTACTCCTATTATAATAGATGGCAATCTATTTATATTTTATATCAGAAAACGCTGAAACCTTAATATATAACCATGTTCACCAATGAATGATGCCAGATAGAATAATGTCCTCACCTTGGTTTTTCTTTCCAGAACTTGGATATGGAATGAATAAAAGTGTCTGAAATGCTGCATTTGTCATTTTGGTGAATTAACAGGTGGAAAACTTCCTATCTTGCTGTAGGCATCAGTTGAGTTCGACTTTGTCAGAAGACTGCAAGAGGGCTTTGAACACAATTTTTTAATTCTGTATGTTCTTTCTTATCCAAATAAGTTCTTTAAGTACTGTCTTTTGTAGGGTTTACAGATTCATGTTAATTCTTAATTATTCATTTCGTGCTCACCAATTTCAAAAAATGTAATAGCATTTTCATAAAAGGTAATAGCATTATACTATTATAATTATACTTTAGTATACTGTAGTATACTAAACTATACTATAGTTTTACAAAATGTTACCATTGAGGGAAACTTGCTCTATTGATTTATGTCTGTCCTCCCACCAATGCTACACTGTCCTGGTGACTGTAGCTATATAGTAAACCTTAACATCAGACAGAGTTATACCTCCTATCTTATTTTTCTTGGTCAAGATTATTTTAGCTATTCTAGTGCCTGTGCTTTTTAATATACATTTCATAGTAAATTTGTATAATCTATAGTAAACCTTGCTGTGATGTTGACCGAAATAGCATTATGCTGATAGATCAGTTTGGGAAAAATTGACAGCTGTGTTATATTGAGTCCTACAATCCATGAACACTCTGTCTTTATGTTTATTGTGGTCTTTGATTCTTTCATCACCATTTTGTGATTTTTGGCATATAAATCAGCATAGTACATAGCATATAAATATCTGTTTTGTTAAATATATACTTGAGTATTTCAGTTTCTTTGGAGTGATTGTAAATGGTATTGTGCTTTAAATTTCAATTTCTGCATGTTATTGTTTCCTTATAAAAATGAGACTGCTTTTTGTTATTGATTAATCTTTATCCTGCTATCTTGTTGAATGCACTTATTCTGGGAATTTTTTTGTATATTCCTTAGGATTTTCTCTATAGACAATCCTGTCATCTCTATATAGAGACATTTTTATTTCTTGCTTTCTCATCTCTATGTTTCTTTTCTTTTCTTTTTTTGGTGAGGGAGATTGGCCCTGAGCTGTTGCCAATCTTCCTCTTTTTTTTTCCCAAGGCCCCAGTACATAGTTGTATATCCTAGCTGTAAGTTTTTTTTTCTTATCTTATTGTAATAGTTAGAACTTCTATGTTTACGTTGAGCAAGTGTAGTGAGAGTGGACATTCTTGCCTTGTTCCAGATCTTAGGGGAAAAGTGTTCAGTCTTTCACCATCAAGAATTATGTTAGCGGGCCAGCCCAGTGGTACAGCAGTTAGGTTTGCACATTCTACTTCAGCGGCCTTGGGTTTGCCAGTTTGGATCCTGGGTGCAGACCGGTGCACCACTTGTCAAGCCATGCTGTAGCAGGCATCCCACATATAAAGTAGAGGAAGATGGGCATGGATGTTAGCTCAGGGTCAGTCTTCCTCAGCAAAAAGAGGAGGATTGGCAGCAGATGTTAGCTCAAGGCTAATCTCCAAAAAAAAAAAAAAAAGGAATTATGTTAGCTGTACGTTTTTATAGATGTTATTTATCAAGTTGAAGATGTTCACCTGTATTCCTAACTTGGGAAAAGTTTTTATCATGAATGGATGTTCGATTAGCCTAGTTATTAAACCTCTTTTTTAATCTACGTTTTATATGTAAAATCATTACATCCACAAAACAATTTCAGGAAGATTATAGCATATATACAAATATAATATACTTACAAATATAACATAATGTAACATAATATAAAATAACAACAAAAAACAATATAACATGAAAGACTGGTAAAATCGGCATTGGGAAAATAAATGAAGTCGTAAGCAGGATTCATACAGAAAATTCATAAGTTTCTGAACACTTGCTAGAATTTCATCATGATACAACTGAATTCGATTCTAGTTTTCGCATTTAAAGGCTGGTATTGGCTTCATTAAGACTTTTCAACCTCTTTAGAGTGAAGACTGATTTATTCATGCTGATTGTCCCTGGCCTAGCAAAGTACATAAGCATCAACAAATGATGGCATAGTTTAATTAACTTACTTCCAGTTCGTTCGTTAATTGCATGCCTGTCCATTTCTGTGTACCTAAAGGGATTCAGGTTTAAACTTGTACTCAAGTAAAAATGTTTATGTCAAATACATCATCCTTAAGACTTTGATATTAACCTTGACTTAAGTTTCCCTCTTAAAGCATCTCTATGCAAATCCACGTCTGTGCCTCTATTAGTATTCTCATTTATGGATGGGAAAGTGGGCAGAAGAATGACACCAGAGTCCTTTCGGACTGCAAAATCGCATGTGTTTTTTTTATATGTGTTAAATAATTTCCTTTGACGACGACGAGTTCGCAAAATTGATACCGTGTCAAATACTCTTCTCGCTACTGATTTTTTTCCTGAGAAGATACCTGCTACACAGATTTCCTTTAACAGTAAGGGAGGAATTGTGAAATCTAATTCTTTCTTTAATAGAACCGACTGATTTCCTTTCTTCAACTTTGGTGAACACTCTCCTTTGGGGTTTCAGGTGAACTATAGTATTGTTATAGCGTCTAGACTGTTATGTATCAGGTATCCATGGAGGCAAATAACATACCCCGATCACCACAAAATCTTACTGCTAATGAGAGTCTGAGTATAAAATAATATCTACTAGTATTGTAACTTCTAAGAGCCTGTGCTTCAGAGTGACAGAAGCTTGCCTCTGGGTCACGTTGCACGTAAGGTCGACTTTATGACCTTGGGGAAGTTACTCAGCCTCTCTAAGCCTCCATTTCTTCTGTTGTAATATGGTAGAAAATAGTTTCTGCTGCATGGAGTTACTTAAAGATTAAATGAGTTCATCCATGTAAAACATTAGCACAGTGTCTGGCCCACAGCCAGTGTACTATAAATGTATAAATGTTAGCTATTATTATTTCTAGAGTGACTTATGATTTTTACACAGCTCAGATGTACTAAGGGTTTTGAAGTGTCTTTTACTAAATTTGAGTTCCCTTCAGCACTGTCCTGGCTCTGATCACTGTGTACATTGACGATGCTGGTTCTTAAGAATTGATGTTTCAACCTCAGTGAGGTTGCCTGCGTGTGATCTGGATTAGAATTGTGAAAATTAAATGGGTTGTGTGTTAAATTGCTGAGATAATACTATGTATATTAATGTTCAGTAGATGTTAGCATATTAGTTCCTTTATTGTCCCTTTTCCTTCAGAAAATATTATCTTATACCAATAGGATAATGAAGTTGGGACACTGGGACTCAAAAACAGGGGTAAGGTCAGGTTACATTCCTTTTTCCACTCTAAAAACCACCCGCTTTCCTGAAGTTGTTTAGCAATGGCCTGTGACATTCATCTTCCTTACAAATATTAACATATTGACATATTGGAAACCTAAAGATTGATGCCGGTAAAGGCTAAGACGATTGCAGAATGTTTTCATAGCCTGATCTTGTTGACTGTACCAAGCGAATTTGAATTGTATTGGAATGTGTTGTTCTATCGTCCTGAGCATGTTCAAAGAAAATTTCTGAGTTTTTTCCTATCAGAAATTCTGCCTTAATTGTTTTGCTTGCTTGATAAATGAAGTGCCGTCGTTTGCTATTTCAGGAAAGGAGTGTACTCAGGATGAAAGTACAGCAGCTGCCATCTTCGCTGTTCAGATGGATGACTATTTGGGTGGCAAGCCAGTGCAGAATAGAGAACTTCAAGGCTATGAATCTACTGATTTTGTTGGCTATTTCAAAGGAGGTCTGAAGTACAAGGTAAGCGGCTCTCAAACTGTTGTTATGACTGCCTTTCTCTTCCTATCCATCCACACCTCACGTCTTCATAAAATGGAAGTTCATTGGGGGCAGGATCTTTTGTTTTGTTTTGTTTTGTTTTTGTTTTAATCTGTGTTGTTCACTGATAGATCCCCAGGACCTACTGGACACAGTAGGCACTCAATAAATGTTTGTGGAATATGTTCTGTAATATATGAAATATTCTGACTTGATTTCATTTAATAGGTTAATTTTTAATAAAGTTAAGAGCTTTCAGTTATATTGTCACAAGAAAGCCCTTTAAATTTTGTAAAGTTACTTCAGTAATTAAATATTGATTAGTTGGGTATTAACAGTTTTCATTTTTGCCATTCTAGAGAATCTTCTGGATTTGCTGCAAATAACCCATGATTTGGGAATATCAATTGTTCTGGAATATCTTAATACAGTATTTATAATAATTATAACTTTAGTTAATGCAAAGAACTATACATCCATTTCTAAAATAGTGTGGTTTGACCTTGGGAATGTTACAGATGAAACCACTGAGTTGAACATAGGTGTGGTTCAGCCTCACAAGCTCAAATGCACATACAGTGGCACAAACACATTTACACACAGTTGGTGTGTATTTCTGTGTGTCTTGGCCTGAAACGCTAATCACCAGATGGCTTTTCTTCTGAAAACAAAAACAAACAAACAAACAAAGTTAAATAGTGTGTCCTTTAAAAGCAACCTTCAGTAAAGGATAGCTTTTTTCTGGAAATCTCCCAGTGACCCTTGCAGACTGGCCATCCTTCACCATCCTCCCTACCCCCAGGAGTGTTCAGCTGAACTGTAAGGAGTACTCTCCCTAGACAGACATTCCAGAAACAATCCTTTGCAAAATCAAATGTGCTCCAATGGTGTTGTGCAGACCCCACCGTTGCCGACTCAGGCACATTAGCCTAGTGGAAACCTAAAACTTCAGAGCTAAACCAGAACTCTAAATGTATCCCAAATTTGCCTGGATGCCAGGGTTTATTTCTGCTTGTACCTGATCAGAGCCTTAGGTGACTATTTTGTGATGCCATTGAGATTAGGACAAAACACTTAGAAATTCTCTTCTCTCTCTTGAAATCATTTTTTCACTTTAGACTATAAACCACCCTAAATATTAAACTATTACCTCTCATTTTATTTAATTCGTATAGTTTCATTTTCTTTGATACACCTGAGTTCCTACAGTTTATGTCAAATGATCCTGAAACTTCCTTTATGTCAGTGAGCCCAACTTTTTGATAATAAGCTGGGTTTTTTTTTTTGTTTTTTTTTTTTAAAGATTTTATTTTTTCCTTTTTCTCCCCAAAGCCCCCCGGTACATAGTTGTGTATTCTTCGTTGTGGGTTCCTCTAGTTGTGGCATGTGGGACGCTGCCTCAGCGTGGTCTGACGAGCAGTGCCATGTCCGCGCCCAGGATTCGAACCGACGAAACACTGGGCCGCCTGCAGCGGAGCGCGCGAACTTAACCACTCGGCCACGGGGCCAGCCCCTGGGTTTTTTGTTACTAAAAGCATGTACTGTGCCATCATCCTGGTTATCAACCGATTTCTGCCACATATGACACGTTTGCCTCAGGGCAAGTACATAAGCTGTTTGTGCTCACTTTCCTCAAATGTGCAGTGGGTATAACAACAGCTTCCTTGTATAGGTGTTGCAAGGAATAAGGATTAAATTAAATAATAAAATACCTATATAGTACATAGGCAATCAGTAGGGACTTATGTTGGTAATATTAATCCTTCTGGCTATTAGCAGGACTTCTGAAATCAAACTTCCAGATATATATTTAGAAGTGGACATGATAAAAGTGATTTGACAGTTATCTTCTAATTATCAACGTTAAAACCACTATAAATCACCATTTTTTAGAAAGAGGATGTTTGCAAATGGAAGTCAAATTGATCAGCAAAAACATCAGTTCACTATCTTATCATTAGTGACACTGAGCAGATGACAAGGTGTGTTGTTGCCACAATATTTGATAGGAAATTTGGATTCGAAGATAATTTACTACCCAGAATAGCAAAGACTACATATTATATTTTACTTAATTTCATGCTTATAGGAGTATGCTAAGCAGTTCATGTATATTATCTCATTTAATCCAAACAACAGCCCTGTGGTGCACTTTCTATCGTTATCACCCTATTAAGGTCAGTAAGCTGAAGCTTCAAGAGACTGTGCAACTTGTCAAGGTCTAATAGCTGGTAGGTGACTGGGTGACCATCTGCCTCCAGTGCCTAAGATGGTAACCATTATACTATGATGCTCTCAACCTACATAAATGGTTCAAATGTCAGGATGAATTTTTTATTTAAGATTACTCAGTGAAACAGGATATTGTGTCTATTTGGAATGGGCAAAACTTGGGAAAACCTTGCCCTTACTCAGTCAGCAACAACCATGGCCATACGTTGCCATACGTAATGTAAAGATTCAACATTAAGACCATCTTCCTATTTCATTTAACTGACTTGAGATTTTTTTCTAAGGTTTTATAGGGAATTGGGAAGGGGTTATAGAGGACTCTTACTTACCATTACTTCCTTATAATAAATCTTCCTCATAATAACTCTCTGGCTAATCACACCTTTCCCAAGCTCAACAAGACCCAACCCTCAGCCGTGATTGTACACAGCAATGATCAGACATCTTCGGCCAGCAAAACTGTATTTATGGTGCCACTGATTTAGTGGCTCATTTGCCTTGTTTTCATTCTGTGGAAAAGGTAGAAAGAGACAGGGAACTACTAGGGTCAATTCAAACAGTATTCACAGAAGAACTGCTTACTGTCTGATACAGACATATATGAAAGTTGAAATTTTTCTTGTGTACCTTGTTATATAATGTAGATGGAATTGATTTTTTAAATATGTTAAATGTTCACAGACTATGTAGTTTATAATTTCATATGAAGTGGACCTAATGTTATGTATGTATCTTCAGTCTAAATCTGCTCAATATTTTATAACACTTTTTCAGATGACAGTGTTTTTATACTATTTTTTATTAGATCACAATGTACTTCTTATTAAAAAAATAATTGAAATGGCCAAGAGCAGTAGTATGTAGATGAAAACTTCAGTTTATTTTTACTGTATAATGCTTAGTTTGTTCAGTTAAGAAGTATGGCAATCTTTGTAAAGTTATGGTCTGGGAAATTATTACATATTTCTTAAAACTTGTGGTTATAGTTGTCCTGAAGTCAACAGTTAGCTTACATTAACAAAACCTTCCTATTCATGAGGGCCTTTCCTGGAGAATTGGGGAAATTCAAAGTCAATGGAAATTTAAAGAAGGTGTTAATGATTGCATACGCAGCTTAACTTCTCTTTCTTTGGATTTACTGTGTATGTTTATATAATAGAATTGAAATGTTGGATTATTTTATAGCTTTCTTATACTGTTAATTTTTCATACTATATTATCATGGGAGGCCTTTGATCAGTAAATGACAGAGATTCGTTTGCACTGCACCTTTAGCATGCACATTACCTGATAATTGTAGAATAAATAAAGATTATTGTTCCAAGACGTAATTAGAAAAAAGTGAAAAGGTACATGCTGATTTCAAATAATACGAGAAGATGTACTTGATACAGTAAATATCTTTTCCTCTGCATTTTTTAATTCAATGTAGTTTTATTTTGTTTTGTTTTGGTTGGGGATATGCAGCCAAGATGCCTCTCTCCTAATTTAGAGTATAAATATTTAGGCCTGGCATATTTAGTAAACTCTTTTCACCAAAACATAAGTAAATAAGACAGGTGATTTTTAATGTAAAAACAAGTACCATAAACAGGAGCAGCCCATACCTGGCCAGCGCTCGACTCCCCTTCTCCGCCCTAATGCTGTGACAGTGGGAATTTGGGGGCATCTCATTCCCTGGGTGCTCCTCATCTGTGCTTGTTATCTCTGCCTCCCCTTCATCTTCCCTAAAAGCCTTTTCTGCCTTCTCGCTCACTGACTTGAGAAGCATTGCTTCCCAAAAGACAAGAGCTATGGCTGCTTCTTTTTGTTTATGTAGTAGGTTTTAGGTTTTAGACGTTTGCAATATTCAATTGAATGGTTAATACAGGAAGACCAAAGAGCCTTAAAAAAAAAAAAAAAAGCGCAACCAAACATGTTGATTTGCCAAGGAATTCTCTCTGCATATTTAACTTTTCACGTGCACTTAGGTGGCTGTTTTATCTTGGCCTGCCAGGCAGTGTTGGCACAAACATCTGTGGTTTTATACTTTGCTCTGTCTACTTGGAAGCTTCATCCACTTTGATTTGTTTCCTGTTTTCCTCGCACCCATCAGGCTGGAGGTGTGGCATCTGGACTAAATCACGTTCTCACCAATGACCTGACCGCCAAGAGGCTCCTGCATGTGAAGGGTCGCAGAGTGGTCAGGGCCACGGAAGTTCCCCTTACCTGGGACAGTTTCAACAAGGGCGACTGCTTCATCATTGACCTTGGCACTGTAAGTTTGATATACACAGGTAGACGTCTAAAGGAAAGTGATTGTCTTCAGGTCAAATCAAGCGTACGTGTCGTGGAAGGTAATCACTTTGTCTGCACACTAGAAATAGGTCTTGTTTATGTGAGATGCAATTATATCATATGAGTAATTGGCAAGTATTTAAATGCCACATAAAGTAGGACTTCAAAGTTTTTCTTTTCTTTGATAGGTTTAGAATGGAGTAGTGATTTAGTTCTTCCTACCATAGAACAGAAATTGAATAATTTTTAATGTTTTCCCTTCTCTCTGAACAGAGCTTCCTCTAATTATTTTTGTCCCTAATTGTGTGTGGGAAAACACTTTGCTTAAGGGGGAAATTGATTCCCTCAGAAAGCAAAGGTTCTAGAATTTAAAATGGACATAGGATGAGTCTAAACAGCCTGACTGAAGAGTTTTTGGGAAATATTTTAACAGATATTAATATGTCCCTTACACAGACACACATACATCATACTACTTCACACATTTTAGTTCTCTTAGAATTATTAGAGAAAAAGGCACAAGTACAAATATCAAGTATCATCTTAATGGGATGATCAATATCTGACATGTTTTTTTCCAGGAAAAGAGGCCCCTCTAAGGTCAGGTATACTTCATAATTATTATCATGACAAAGAAGTATGATCGCAAAGTTTTGTGCTAGACTCAAGGAGGTAGGATTTAAGTTGTGTCTTTAAAACTTTGTAAGGTTTTAAAAGCAGAAATAAAGGGTATTCCCTACCATTGAAAAACTACGTGCAAAGGCGAAGAAGGCAGGAAAGCACAGAGCGCGTTTATGATGTCCTTCTCGTCCTCATGATCATCATTCTCATCACACCACATACATCAGCATTCTAGTCGTCATCCCTAATGTTGCTGGGCCAAGCATTGTACGGGCACTTGCTCTGACCTTTATTGCTTTGATTAGCGTGAGGCTTTGGCTGGCTATGGAACTTGCTCAAGGTTGTACAGCCAGTAAATGATGGAGCCAGAGGTAGACCCTACGCACGTCTGATTCCCAACTAAGCATTTTGTTTTGCTGCCTCTCCTTGAGCAGTATTTTGGGGAAAAGCATGAGACAGAAGCTAAAAGACTTTATTCCACATGCAGAGAGGAGGGACACTAAGGATTTTGAAAACGGAGCTACACAGTCAAAGTTCTGTTCAAGCAATATCAGTTTGGTAACAGCACAGATATGAAATGTACTAAGGTTATAAATGATTGGGAAAGGACCCCAAGCTGTAAACTTCATTTATAAGTTCCTCTAAGTTAGGGTACACTTAGAATTTTATTACCGTTAATGTATAATCCAACTGTCTTGGATCACACCAGCCTGTGTGCACAGTTGAGATCATAATGTTAATGCCCAAAGTACAATTCTCAGTATCACACGTAGACATTTCCACCCAAAATGGCAGTACTCTTGCCCTGAATCTCACGAAGAATTTCATGGAAAAGTCCTTTTCAACTTTAATTGCTAACCCGTTCACCTGACCAGGCTCAAGTCCGGACCCTCAGGTCCAGGCAGAAAACAAATAGTATTCCAGCTGTCCGCTCCCCTGCAGCCACAGCCATAACTTCTATGAGTAGATACCCCTTGAATCATCACGCCTCACAGTTCTAAAAACCATTAGAGCGTTCAGAGCCCCTCACAGCCCATGCACAGTAATTAATTGCCTATCTCAACTTTCATCTTAACCGCGTATGTTTTTAGCCCTTTGTCCCTTTATCAAGTATTTTTACATATAAGATAGTATTTTTCCTAGAGAAGGGGGACCTCAGTTTTCATCTAAGTTTACTGTAATTTCAGATTCTTATCTATAAAGTCAGGTATCTGATTAGATGATCTCTAGGATCCTAAACAAGAGAGACACTTCCCATTGATAATGTCATTCCTCACTGCCATTACTTGAAAATATTTCTTTTCTAAAAAAAAAACTTTTTAAAGAGAGAAGACACAGATGACCAACTCAGGTTGACATAGTTTTTTCCTTCAGCACTTTAGAGATGTGTTCTCTACACCACTTTCTGATAAGAAGTCAGCTCTCATTCTTATCATGATAATCCTGTATGTAATTTGTCAGTTTTCTCTGGCAGCTTTAATGCTTTCCTCTTTTTTTCCAGCTTTAATGAGATATAATTGACACGTTAATGTTGTGTAAGTTTAAGATGTACAGCGTGTTGATTTGTTACATTTATATATTGCAAAATCATCGCCACCATAGCAATAGTTAACACTTCCATCCTGTCACATAATTACCATTCTTTTCTTTGTGTTTGGTGAGAACATTAAGATTTACTCTTAGCATCTTCCAAGTATGTAATACAGTGTTATTAGCTATAGTCACCATGCTATGCATTAGATACTCAGAACTTGTTAATCTTACAACAAATTTGTATCCTTTGACCAGTATCTCTCCATGCCCACACCTCCCCAGCTCCTGGTCACCACCACTCTCTGCTTCTCTGAGTTCAGCCTTTTTAGATTTCACATGTAAGACATAGACGGTATTTGTCTTTTTAATTTTACTTTATTTTAAAATTATTTTATTGAAATAATAAAGGTTTATAACATTGTGTAAAAAAAAGATTTTTTATATGTAGTATAATTGCTCCACCAATGCAATAATCTCTTTAATTATCATGAATAGTGTCAATTCAGCTTTCCAACTATCTGCTCTTTGATCTTGAGCACGTTATTAACCTTTCTAAACGTTAACTTCCTTTTTTTTTTTTTTCATCTTGCCTCTGGTTTCTGATGACACTGCTAACCTTAGCTGGCTATGATTCACTCTCGCCTGACACACAGTCACATCTGGAAAGGGCAGTTATCATCCCAGTTTCACAAGAGGCAAAAAAGCCTTAGAAGGTGGGAGCAAGTCACTTGCATTAATACAGCTTGAGGGTGACCTGGGACAAGACCTGGGTTTTTCTATTCCTAGTTCACATCCTTTTCTCTGCGTTAAGCAAACTTGGTAGTATATAAGATGATATGGCCCTATAACAGAATATCTTGCAACAGTTTCAGAATCTGCTGAATTCGGAATTATGTCTCATCTGGCTTAGAATCTGATGAAAGTAGTAGTATTAATGAAATCATTTGTTATTTTATTGAACAAGTATTGAGTTTCCACAATGGCTTGATAGTTGGGTGCTGTGGTAGCCAGATTTTAGTTCTAGTAACATATGCTCTTTTCCCATAGGTAATGTCTGCCTGTGGGAGTATAACCCACAAATCCAGGCTCATATACTAGGGACAGAGTCTCTACTAGAAAGTTCAAGGACATTTATCTGTTTAATAGTAAATTATCTTTATTTTATATAGTTAATTATCTTTAATAACGTTCAAGTTCTCACCCGCTCTCAGGCTTGGTTAGAGACATGTGCAATGATGTGTTGCAGAGGACTTGAGTTTATCTCTTATATTGTGGAGATTACCTACACCCCAAAAGCATATCCTAGTAGGAATCAAGCACTAGGTCCCTAAGGACACGAACAAGTACCCACGTGATCTGTGTTTATGCCACTAACCTTTAACCTGTTGGTATGTTGCCAAAGCTTCTAAATGGTGATAAGATCTTGCAGTTACCTTGGGGACTTTATTTTGGGGGCATGTCATAGTAAACTAAGAAGGCATGAGGCCAAAATTTTCTCTGCCATAATATTTTAATAGCAGTTATTGAGTTAATTATTTCATGACCACCTTCTACATTGGAGGACGCAAAAGGAAGCCACTGCAGTTTCTTTAAGTTTTATTACCCGGGTGTGAAAAAGGTAGATTAGACATCTAAAGCTGTCACCCAACTAAAGCCAGCTGGCCAACACTGAGGTTATGAGTAAAAGCCAAATCCCAGATCTTGATTGTGTTTGAGGGAAGTCAACTTTTGGTAAACAATCACTATTATGAATATGATATGCCATATACCTTAGAAACGTTTGCCGATAGGATTTTAGACTACAGTAAATATTCCCTAGATGTGACAGTATCATCCCTTCAAGCTAAAGCATGAGATTATAAAATTATGCATTTAATCACTTGGAAAGTTAAAATCATCAACATTTTAGAGGATGATTTCAATAAGTTGTCTTACGTGTAGTGTATTTTCAGAAAATAATATGGAACATGGCTAGATCTCAGCAATTTGCAATTTACTGAATCTTTGGAAAAATGCTTTGGACTATATTTTAATGTTGGTGAATTTATAAATCATTGTTTTCCCACTATATTTAAAGATAGGAGGTATTTGTAGAAATTAACTAGTAAAATCACATCTAAATATATTGCAACAAAGCATCAGTAACTACCGAATGTGAATGGTAATGAACAGAGCCCGTATTCTCAAAGTTGGGGATCGGGAGTTAACTCTGTTACAAATACACATCAGAGCCGGCCACTAGTGGAGAATTAGGTTTCACAGGATTAGGAATTTCTTGCTGAGTTACTAATCGTGGTGTTCTGCCTGTTTCACTTGTTGGTCACTCACACAGCTTTGCCTACGCCCCTTACTGTTTATGCCCTGTCACCTCTCTCTCATTGTTCAGTCTGCTGCTTTGGAAAAGCAGCCTACACTTCCTCATTTACTAGTTGGTTTTCGACCTTTGTTTCCTGACTTTCACGCCCACCAGTCTTTTGAAACTGTTCTTCCCACAGGCATAATGCCTTCTGCTAAATCCAGTGGACACTTTGATCATTGTCACTTGATCCCTGTGCTGCAGTTGACACTGGATTACTCCTCTCTGCTTCAGCCTCCCTTCTCCCCTGGCTCCCTGCTTCTCCTCCCTTTCAAACCACTCTCATTCTTCTTCACATGCTCTGTCTACCCCCTAAAGCTGGTTTTTTTTTTCTTAAGGATTCCACTTCTGATCATTGTCTCTTCTTTATACATTCTTCCTCAACAAACTCATCCCCGCCCAAAGCTTCACCTACTACCTACTGGTAAATCTCAGTTTTAGAGTCCAGCTCAGACCTCTTGCCTGAGCCC